TCACTGAAGTGCTACTTGGAAGGCAAACCAGTATCTAATGTAATCTGGTTCAAAGATGGTCAGACAATCATACCTGCTAATGACAACAGAATATCTGTMTCTYCACCCACCTCAGTCAGTAATAGCAGTGCTACGATTGCTATTGCTAACGTGAACCGAACTGACGAGGGCAGCTATTTTTGTCAGGCKGTGAATGGTGTTGGTAATGATRCTTCACTTCAAGCATCACTCTCAGTCAACTGTAAGTATGACGTACACCACGAAGCTTTGTGTAACCAGGTTGACTTCCTTCAGATTAATTAACTGYCCTGTATGTAATCAAYATTTTCAGATTCTCCCAAGATATTGGTAGATTTTCGGGCAAATTTCGAGCTACTTTTTGGGGCATTTTGGTWTARTTTYTCRAGTGTATTAAAGGTCCGACAGTCCGTTATCTCTAGTAGACGGCCARTTATCCAAAGGAGTAAAAGCAGGGCATATTTCATCCATGCAAAGGCAGTCGACGGAGGAGGATAAATTTGAGTTTTTTGACTATTAAACGAGTTTAAATGACTTTCAACTTGCTAAAATGTTGCACATCTTACCACAGGCACCCCACAAATTAATTGAAGGCATTTTACAGTTTTACATTTGTGTTTCCTCTAACAATTGGACTGCTTTATAAAGCACACTGTTACTGCCACGCTCTTTTGGGGATGTATCATGCATTTTAGTGATAATTGATTGACTTGCTCATAAATACCTGATACGAAATAATGTACATTCGCATTTCAGACATCTTATATTTTATATGACCATATGATGTTTTTAGCATTACTACAAGTTATCAAATATTGGTCAATTACGATTTATCACAAAATTGCACTCAATAGTGATAAACATTGCTACTCACARCTTGCATTAAGCTATTCTAGTGGTCTTTCTACAGGCAAGCCTCGAATTACGAAGCCGTTAACCACCAACAAAACAGTCGTTGAAGGCAAAAATGTTTCTTTCGTTTGCCAATACGATGGACGTCCTAAACCGAAAGTGAAGTGGCTCAAAGATAATATTGAGATAAAACCTCGTGAACAAGACTCAAGTCGACTGACCATATCAGGTGATGGAAACACGATGACTATCAACAAAGCAAGCAAATATGATGAAGGTCGMTACGAATGTCGAGTAACAAATGACTTGGGATACGATATTTCTTATGGCATMCTTRCTGTTCAGTGTAAGTTAGAAAGAAATAACCTTGATAAGAATCATTTGATACGGTTTATTTATTCTATTGGAGTAGAACATTTTAAATCCTCGGTAAACTCAAATGACTAATTTGTTTTGGTGCTGGTCGGTAGCTAAGAGGATCGAGGAATAAAATTTAAGCAGCAGCAACGACAACGAGAACAACCTACTTATAGCAACCGCTGAAACAATTACAACAACA